TTTCTTTCTTTCTTTCTTTCTTTCTTTCTTTCTTTCTTTCTTTCTTTTTTCTTTCTTTCTTTTTGCTTTCAAGTTTAGGGTAACGTCTCACGACAAAGCATTTGGAATCAGTAATGATATTTATTACTTAAGGCTTCAAAATTTGCTGCACATGGCTTCTTAATCCCAGCGCTCAGGAGGCAGAGGCAGGTGGATCTCTATGAGTTTGTGACCAGCCTCGACTACATAGTGAGCTGCAGGGCCAGGTCTATAGAGTGAAGCCCTACTTCAAAAAACAAACAGCTGATTGAAGAAAAATCCTAAAATGCTGACACTAAAGCAACAAAATAAAGCCCTCCTTGTGGTGGGATGATAAATGAGTTCTGTTGCTTTCAGTGTTAGGGGCAGTTTACCAAAATGTTAATATTTTTGATGTTTATTACACTGAGCCTAAATTAATTTTATAGAAGGGAAAACACATACATTCTATTTAATATTATTTTAAAACATTTCAGGGGAGAAAATTGTATTGTTTAATGATGTAAGTCCATAGGTTTTACATAGGGAACTTACAACGTGAGCTTACATTTTGAGTGAGATTTGTTGATGGACTGTCTATAGGAATTTTTTCTGGTCTTTTAAAACTCACATTTTTTTTTTTGTGAGTAAAAAAATTTCTCCTGGGGTTAGAGATATGGCTCAGTGGATGAGCACACTTGATGTTCAGGCATGAGGACCCAAGTTTGAATTCTTAGCACTATGTAGAAAGCTGGAGCTGCTGTGCGCACACCTCTGTGTGCACAACTCGGCCTCTGGGGCCTGCTGGCTGCCAGCATTGCACCAGTTTAAGTAAGATAGTCTATTCCACGTGACTAACGCACACACTGACTACACTGGACTCTAAGCATCTTTTTCTGGCCTCCACAGATGGGCACATGCAGCCCCCCCTTTTCCTCACCCATAGTAAACCAAAGGGACCATATGGTTTACCAACTAAGCAGGGAAGTGAAAATTCTTAGTTTCTCTTAGCTTTAAGTGTGGTGTCTCAGACTAAAGGACCAGAGTCCCTAGATAATAACTTTAGTGATAAAGTAAATATATCAAACAGTTATGACAATCTACTGTGAAAGAAGTGCTATTTGAAATAATATTTCATCAAAAAAAACATGGAAATATTGTTCTTACCATCTATGGCCAGAACCTCAGCTGAGATTGTCTTGTTAATTATGAAAGTAGAATCTCGTTCAATGTTTTTGGCAAATTTGATCTGAGCAGTTTTTGAATCAATAACAAGCAAACCACCGTCATTGCGACCCAGGACATATCTGTTTTACAACAGAAAAAATAAAATAAAATGTTATTTACTTAGTAAATATTATTTTTTATGTAGTCAACATATTTATGCATGATCTAAAATGTTTTGTATGTACTTATAAAAAAATATCAAGGTGCTGGAGAGATGGCTCAGTCTCAGGAGATCTTGCTGTCATAAGAGAGCTGGGTTCCTACCGCCCACATAACAGCTCATTTCCAAGGTATCTGATGCCCTCTTCTGGCACCTTGAGTAACTTCATACACAGTGCACAGACACTCATGCGGGCAAAATAGTCAAATACATAAAGTTAACGTAAATAAACCTTATATAAAAGTAAAAACAGAAAATTGACATGACATGGATGAGTCACACTTAACAATCTTTATTTATGCATTAGTCTGGTTAGTCAGATTTTGGCCGTGAAAGATACAATAGAACAAAGTAAAATAAGCTGTGTGCTCTTGTTCTTTATGCTTCGGCCGTTATTGACTTTGTCTGTTCTTTGAGTTGAGCCATAGTGTCTTATCTCACCGGAATTCGCTCCTGTTATGAACACCTAATCTTTTGAAGACTCAAATATGAATATGAAGTTCCTTCCTGATTTCTGGATAGGCTAAGGCATTCTTTTTTTTTTTTTTTTTTTTTTTTTTTAGTTTCTACTCATTTACATGCATACTATTTTTGCTTATGGCAAAATATAATCTAGTAAATTATCTGTGTATCTGTTCTTGGGTTATCTAGTTCCTTAATATCACCTCCTTTGTACCTCTGTTTTGGGCATCTCATTGACTGAGCACTGTGTTGTAATCACATATTGATGAAAACCAAACCAGGACTCTTACCTGACAGATGAGGCAGCTTTACCAGTGTCCTCATCAATAGCTTCATATGTTCCCAGGATGTAGCCAGCCAATTTGCTAGTGCTAACTCCCCTTTGCACAGTAAATGTCTTGGAAGATGGACGGAATGAAATTCCTTCTTGGACGTTGATGACTTGAATTATGACTGGGGTTGGCTGCACGCGGTACTGAGAGATCACTGACTGGTGGAACTCAGCTTTGTTTTTGACGGCAATACTAAATTGCATGCTCTGTGCTTGTTCATAATCCAGAGCCTTGAGCGGAAAACAAATTAGACAGAAGGAAGTGTCACAAAAGACAAAACAAAACACACACAGTGTGGAAGACCAAGAGATAGAACCATCTCTGCAAGAAGTGGTGGACAGGCCCTTCTATTTATGTAGAGCAAAAGCAGTTTCAGATGTCACTGTAATGTCAAATAGAGAATGTCTTAGGATTCTTGACTCAAAAGACTGTTTGGGTAGCATGTTTAGAAAACACAGTGTTTCCTTTCTAGGCCATCAGAACTCCATTTAACATCATAATTTTTAGGCTGGGAGACAGACAGAACTTGAAGAATCCCTAGTTTGTGATGGTAACATATCTCAGTCAGGCCTTGATTATGTTCTGTGTTAGCTATGCATTGTAAAGGGCGGAGTTTGAGTTTTCTGATCCTCAGAGTTTCACTTTTAAGTGTTATGTGCATTTTATTAAGACTTTACCCACCATGGTATCTAAGCAGATGCTGAGACTCAAAGCCAAATTTTGGGCAGAGTGCAGGGAATCCTATGAAAGAAAGGGGAGGGGGATAGAAAGACCTGGAAGGGACAGGAGCTCCACAAGGAGAGCAACAGAACCAAAAAATCTGGGCACAGGGTCTTTTCTGAGATTGATACTCCAACCAAGGACCATGCATGGCGATAACCTAGAACCCCAGCACAGATGTAGCCCATGGCAGTTCAATGTCCAAGACGGTTCCCTAGTAATGGGAACAGGGACTGTCTCTGACATGAACTCAGTGGCTGGCTTTTTGATCACCTCCCCCTGAGTGTGTGTTGGGGGGGCAGCCTTACCAGGTCACAGAGGAAGACAATTAGGCCAGTCCTAATGAGAACTGATAAACTAGGGTCAGGTGGAAGGGGAAGAGGAACTCTAATATCAGTGGACTGGGGAAGGGGCATGGGAAGAGAAGAGGGAGGGAGGGCAGGATTGGAAGGGGATGAGGGAGGGGGCTACAGCTGAGATACAAAGTAAATAAATTGCAATAAATAAAATAAATAAAAATAAAAAATAAAAAGGCAAAAAAGAGAAGTTTATTCTTGGGGTTGGAGAGATGGCTCAGCAGTTAAGAGCACTGCCTGCTCTTCCAGATGTCCTGAGTTCAATTTCCAGCAACAAAATGGTGGTTCATAACTGTTTATACTGGGATTGGATGCCCTCTTCTGGCATGCAGGTGACCTACAGCTAGAGTACTCAGCTACATAAAATAAAAAAAATAAGAGAGGAGGAGGAGGAGGAGGAGGAGGAGGAGGAGGAGGAGGAGGAGGAGGAGGAGGAGGAAGTTGTTTAGTCTTTTTAGTGTTGGTATTTGAAGCCAGTAGGCAAGTGCTCCTTCAGTATGTTACTTTCCAGGCCTTAGCTTTTCACATCTAAAACCAAATCTTACCACACCAGGTTGTCGTGAGACTGAACAAATTAAGTCCTGTGATACATTTGTATAAAGAACAACTATGGCTGTTCACAAAATATTCATTGAATTCATGTATAGTAATGCCTTTTAGGACTTAAGATAGACTTCCAGACTCTAAAGGCCAACTACCTCATCTTGGTTGGCAAAAGACTAAGTCCTTTTTATAGCAGTGAACAGTTAACCCAGCTCTTCATAGAACTAGTTTTAAGTGTTTTTCCTTATCATTACTTGATTTTCTAATTAAGGAGTCCAAAGTTAGCATTTTTCATTCATTAAGCTCCTCTTCCTCCTCCTTCTCTTTCTCCTTTTCAGGAGGAAATGCTAATTTCTGCTTAATTTATTCACCAGTAGAATATTTTTTAAGGTAAAGGATCTGAATTTGAGCAGCTGCAATGACTGCTTCTGAGCACTTTTGAATGCCCCATGTTGCAGAAAGTGATGTGAGCGGGCTGGCGATGCCATAGGGCCCTGGGCACCATTGTGAGGAGGAAGGTCTGCTATTTCATTTCCAAAGACATTAGTTGGTTATCCACCTAGATGGTATGTTAGAATCACTTTGGTTAATTTAATACACATTAGGATGAGGGCTTCCCCATAGATTCATCACACAAATTTATTTTGTATTCTAGCTAGAAAAAGCTGCAGGTGACTTAAAGTGCTGTGAGTATTGAGGGCTGCCACTCAGCTAATGAGAGCCAGGGGAGGAGTAAAGAAAAGAGTAAGCTGTCTAACTTGTTTCTTAAAAAAGATGTGGTGCTAGACTGACGGCAACAGCGGCCAGAGGGGACAGGCAGGGGGCACCTGCTAGACAGTACTACAATGGTGAAAGAGGGAGGGAGCAAGGTCAGGTAGGAGACAGGTAGTAAAAGGCAGAGGTAGGCCATCATTCAAAGGCAGCTTCTAGGCAGAACTTGATGGCTGGCTGAATGCTGAGAGGATACGCCACCGTTCAAAGATGACAGGCAGGTGTTGAGTTTGGGAAACTGAATGACCCCAGGACATAAAATAGGGAGTCACAGTGTTGTTGGAACTTTATAACAGAGTCCTTGTGGGTTCAGAACCTGTAACACACTCTATGAAACTCTTCCAGATGTCTTTTTGTGAAGAGAATACTATTACTCCATATTCCACATATTCCACCAGACCTAAGGTGTTTTTTTCTGAGGCAGGGCTTCTCTGTGTAGCCCTGGCTGTCCTGGAACTCTCACTCTGTAGACCAGGCTGGCCTTGAACTCACAGAGATCCACCTGCTTCTGTCTCCTGATTAAAGGCGTGTGCCAACGCACTCGACTTCAGACTTAAGGTGTTAAAGAAGCCCCAGAATGTTCCAAAACCTGATTCAAAAAAATATCAGCAGAGAGTGGGTATCTGTTCAGGTCTATGCTATTTTCAGACACAGCTGTCCTGACAGAATTCCAGATGGAGAGTCTGTCATGTTGAACCAAAAGCTTTACTCACTTTTACCTAGCAGAATTTGTTAGCTGTGCCCATTTTTCTAAAGAAATTGCGATTTCTTTCTGTGATGACAATAGCTAATGTATTTAAAACACGTCAACAAGTTCCCGAGCCCCAGTCATCTCTTCTCAACTCCAACCCAATAGCAGAGAGTAAATTTGATGAATGGGTAAAATGTCTTCGCTTTCCTGTCCTGAGAGCATGCAAACTCACTCGTGTGTACGTGTGTGCGTGTGTGCGTGTGTGCATGGATCTGTGCATGTGGGCATGTGCATGTGTCTGAGTGTATCTGTGTGTGGTGTGTTTGCGTGTGCATATGTGTGGTGTGCATGTGTATGGGCGTGTGTGTGTGTGCACGCGTGTTCTATGGAAAGTATAGTAACTTGGAAGGAAAAAATATTATCAAGAGAAGTTGTCTTTATACAATAAAACTATGATGATAGTAAAATAAATGCTATCTATCTTGCTGAGTTTTATATTTTTTAGAATAATGGAGTGGTAACATTATTCATGTGATTTATGGGGCTAATTGTTTGAGTTACTACAGAATATTTTTACCCATTAGGAAATCTCAAACCTTACCTTCACCACCTTCAGGATTCCTTCGTTGGTTCTGGGATCTGTTTCAATTTCAAACCAATTCCCATCGTTTCCAGAAGTAAAATAATACACAGCCAACCAATTATCTGTGTATTCTTCATCCCAGTCTACCACTTGAAATCGGAGTAACTCAGCATTTAAAGTATTTTCCTCAATACGCGCTGAATACTGAAATGGAGAGACACAGGAGTTAAGATTCAGTGCTAGGAGCTGTGAGGACAACCTAGCTGCAGGATCGTCTGTCACTCTGCCCATTGCCTGGCTAGGCAAGTGAGGACGTCTTCCCCCTCTCCCTCTTTCCCTTCCACCCTCTGTCAATCATCCTCCAAAGAGGATGATGGTGTTCAGTCAAGGGTGGATGAGTTTCCTGCTAGGACCCCTAGCCAAGTGCTCAAGGTTTGGCTCTAGGGTTTGCCTAAAAGAATTATATTTATTTTTAATAGCATTAAATGTATTCTCAAATGTGTTATGTGTTAATTCACACTGATTCCTTAATTCTCACATTTAAGCTTATTTTTATAAAGTAAAAAAAAAAAGCACAGAAAATTAAAAACCCAACAGATAGGCAATCAATTGGGATACTAGACTATTAAGCATATATAAAAATGGTTCTTCAAGGACAATTGGTCCACCTGAGATTCTCTTAGCACCGGGAAGTTGTCGTTGACATCTTTCACTTTAATGCTACATTCGCATTGAGTTGATAGTCCTGTGCCATCATTGTCTGCACCACTCACGACCAGGTGGTAGCTACTAATTTGCTAAATTGGAAGAAAAAGAAAACACAGGTTAATTGTCAATGATTGTGAATGGCCAGTAGCTGCTTTCCATGGATAAGATAGTGAAAACATTTAAGTTCATGAATCATGGTTCACGCACACTGTTAGTTGTCCTTGGAGAGACTGGTAGGGCTCAAGATGACTGGGAGGAAGTGGTATGAGGCTACAAGAGGTGTCCTCTTTAGTAAACCTCTGAAGGTAGTGTTGTGGACTCAAAGAGAGGAAGGAAGGAAGGAAGGAAGGAAGGAAGGAAGGAAGGAAGGAAGGAAGGAAGACTATAGCAATGAGAAGAGATGTGATTGTCTGGAGAAGCTCACTTGTGGAGTTTCCCTACCAGTCAAGTGGAAAAATGATTTGTGCAGAAGTCAAATGCTTCGGAGTAGCCTGCTCTAGCTGTGGTGGTGGGACAAGAGAGGAGGGGATTCTTTGGGATTTTGTAAGCAGAGGTAAACTTTAGAGCCATCTAGAGAAAAGGTATGCCACCAAAGTTTTGTGCCACATAGAAATCTCTTCATCGAAGAATTTTTCTCCCATCCTTAGGAATTAATCACAGTGTAGAGTTTGCTTCTATCCACCAGTGTGTCTTCCTTAATACTTTCCTTTGAGCTGTTGTGTAAAAGGCTGTGGCCACAGGCACACATGTCACTACAACAGAATCACATCCATGGAGACATATTCCCCAAGATTGATTGGCTCAGACAAAGGCTGGTAACCTTTTCCCTACTTCTTTTTGTATTATCAAACAAAATGGAGGCACCTCTCCTGGGTTGCTTGCCATCAAACCCATTAGTTTTTTGATGCAGTCAAGCAACTCGCTTTACCTCTCGATCAAGAGAACTGGTCAAAGTGCGGACTTCTCCTGTGTTTCTGCTGATGAGGAACATGGGCATGCCCACAGGCTCCTGGGAGACAATTTTGAAGGCAATTTTAGAGTTCATGTGGTTTGGCTCATCTGCATCCGTGGCATTTAGGATCATTACCAGGGAATCTAGAAATATAGGACAATCGTCAAAGACACATAAAGTCCAACATTACATTCGCACTAAATAGTCAAAATAGTTTAGCACTGCTAAATAGGGATCAGTGCTAAACTATTTTGACTTAAAAAAACTGTCACTGTTGCTGTCTCTTTCTAGAATTTGTTGGCTTTCAGTAAAATGTTCCAATGTTCCTTCAGGCTTTATTGGGGCTATCTTCTGTTTGCAGTTCTTCCCCACACAGATGTACCTGTATGTTTTTTTTTTTCCCAAATGACCAAAATAATGTGAATATATCTCTTCTCCTTTTGATTGAAAACCACTGAACTTGTGCATCCAGGCTGCCTAACAGTCTTCTTCAGCTTTGTGGCTCATCCAGCGGCTCTGTACCCAGGCAGTAACTTCTTGACAGGACTATAATCCACACATACAATTCTGATGGGCAGTTGTTAAGAGTTAACTACACATTTTGAAAAGGAAATCTCAGACTGTTGTAACAATTTTTTGCCGTTAAACTACTGCGCAAACTAACAGAACAGTCAGTAAAACTGACACGATGATGCATGCGGTTGAAAGATACATGGATTGGAGGTAGTCTGCGTTGTAAAAGACTTACTTGAAGCACTGTTTTCTTCAATTTCACCCTTGAATATGGTTTGTGAAAATACTGGAGCATTATCATTAACATCTAAAATTTTTACTGTTAATATGAGTGGTCTTTCTACATCTTGTCCCAGGGCATTCAGGGCTCGGCATGTGATCTAGAAACACAGGGAAAATATCCGTTATCACCATGTGGAGTTAGCTAGCATACTATTATTACTCATAGGAATTAGACCAATGTTGGCACGTACAGACCTTAATGAGCAAAGAAGGAAAACATTTCCCTCAAAGTGTGGGCAAAGGCAAAGGTTCCCACTCTTGCCATTGGTCCAATTGTCCTTTCCTTCAAGCTGCTGTATTTTGGCAGGATGAAGTTCTAGAAAGCTGTGTACTAAATCCCAGCCCTCCCTGGGTACTTTTGGGCTATATATTTCAGGAACATGAATCATAGCAGAAAGTTGTTGGTAGAGAAATTAATACTCTTTGTTGGTAGACTAATCCATATATTCCCTTCTCTTGTAAACCTACCAGTAGAAGAGCTACCTTCTACCTTCACAAAGTACACAAAGAAGGATTGAAGACTTACCAGGAAGCTTGGGGTTTCCTCCCGATCAACTATGGCTGTTATGTTGATATCACCACTGTTTGGGTCAACAACAAAGATCCCAAAAGGAGGCTGATCAATTCCCACCCCAGAAATTCGGTAGGTAATTTTCTGGCTTGCTTGGTAATCTGAAGTGATCTGCAAGGAAAAACAAACAAACTAACTAACTAACAACAACAATAACAAAAAAAACCTGACTTAAATGTCAAGCTGACCGTTGATGAGTCTTCCTCTGCCTCCTCCACCTTCACCATCTAAAGCCATCTGCTCACTTGGTCCACCCTTTCCATCACTGCGCCATCACTACTCTCTTCATTGGAGCGTAGGACTAAGAAATAAAGTACAGCTGTTCTGCTCACCAGCATGGAGCAAGAGTGACTGGTTGTTTTGGCTTTAGAGTGCCTGTTTAGGGTGTGATGCCATGGTGGGAAGGTTAGAAAGTTGTAAGAGGACAGGGGGCTAAGTCTTAAGAAGACTTCTTCTGGATGCAAAATTCTTACTTAACATTTTAGAAAGGATGCTTCTCTAAGTTGGAAGAAGTGACAATGAAGGGGGAAAGAGAACGAATAAGGTAACAGATGTTAAAAGTATGTGCAGATGTGAACTGGGTTTTAGTTTTATAATTTTAAAGCTATTTGACAGAAAGGATAGTACAATACTCATGAGACAGCTCTTCATTCAGCCTCAGTAGTTACCCAGCCGTGGCCTATCTGCTCATCTAACCATCACTTTTCTTTTTTTTATCCTTGTTTAGTAGAGTTTGCATATACATTAAAACGAGCCAATATATTTCCTAATCTCACCTTATAACTCTAGAGTCTATCATTCCTATATTTTTAAATTTCTTATTTTTTTTTTTTTTTTACATTTTTACATTTCTTTTTTACTATTATTGTAGTTTTTGTTGGAAGCAGTAGGTCTTTGTTCTGTGGACTTCCAAGGCTACATATTGCTAAGTGGAATTGCTATATTGTCTTTAATATGGATGTAATACATTTATTCTAATGCTCACGCTGCTCTGTCAATACAACTTACCTTGGCAATTGGGTTTCTTTTTGAGTTGTCTTCTCTTTCCCTGCAGGGTTTTGCAAATTTCACCCATTCACGCTTGTACCTCCTTTTGACCTGCTGCACTGCTGTTCTATCTTCTCCGTGCTGTCTTCCAGGCTGTATTGAAAGAAATCCCACTTTATCACATACATGGCTGGCAGTCTTTGCTCTGAATTTTGGCCATAGAGAGGTACCTACCCTGAGGAACTTCCCGTTTCCACTTTGTGACCGTTTGCTCATCTCTCATACTTTGTCAAGAAGCAGCAATAACAGGTCATTACAAAGTTATGTGATTTTTAACATTAGCATTTGATCATATTTGATTTCCTCCCTTGACTTGTTAGCCAGACATAGTAGTGCATGTCTGCAATCAAGAACTAGTGGGTCTGATGCAATAAGATTGCCAGGACTTCAAAGCTAGCCTGGTCTATATAGTGAGTACCAGCCTAGGCAAAGGCTACACAGAAGACCCAGTCTCCAAAGCACAGAACCAACCAACCAACCATAATCCAATGGAAGATAAAATGAAACTAACAAGACTATATACGCCTATTTATAGATAACTATAAAGTATTTTGGGTTATTTGCTAGAACTTTAGGCTTTTGTGTTTGCACAATTGGATTATCAAATGACTTGATTAAATGCTTTTCTCAACATGGTTTTAAGGTAAACTCTGATTGTAATGATTGGAAACTGCATACCTCTATTCGCAGCTCGCCGTGCACCAGCAGCACCACCTGTAGACATCAGACAGAACCAAATATTCCATGTGAGTTCTTCAAACAGGAGACTAGACTCTATAAAACCAATAATCTTTATCATTGTATTCTGTTCCTAAGATTAGAGGTTTTTTTTTTTTTTTCAGTTTTAGGAGAGTTGGTTTGCAGAAGCATCCCAAAGTGTAAACATCCTACCAGGAAAATGAACACCCCTCTCTGAGTGAAGAAGCTCCTCTAGGTTTTCAGGCTGACCTCAGGCTTTTAAAAGATTATTTGTCTTGCTCTATGTGTGTGTATTCTTTGCCTGCATGCCTGCATGTTCACCGTGTGTGCCCCTCTCAGATCCCCTGCAGCTAGGGTTAGGGACGGTTATGGGCTGCCATGTCAGTGCTAGGAATCAAACCTGGGTCCTCTGCAAAAGCTAACGACTCCTATGATGTCTCTCCAGCACCATGACTTCAGATTTTCATTCTGGGAAAGAGGAACCTACCAGCAGTTGGAGGCTGAGGGTGGAGGATTGTTGCTAGTTTAAGACAAACCTGAGCTCTCTAGTGAATTTAAGTCAGCTTGAACTACAGAGTGAAACTCTGTTTCAAACCCAGAGACAACAAGGCAAAACAAAAACAAGGAAGAAGATTCTAACCAAGACAACAACTATCATCATTGTTACCACCGTCCTCCTCCTCCTCCTCCTCACCATCTCCTTGATTGTAAAATTATGCTTTCAGCCAGTTGCTAAAATCCACTAGATGTTTCTTACATGGTTAGCATATACACAGCTCCCAGAAGTCATTGCTTTAGGAACTGTTGTGACAAACTTCTGAAAGTGGTCATGGAATTATGATGCTGGGCATGGTGGTGCACACCTATGACCCCAGCATGTGGGAAGCTAAGGTAGGTCAGTTGAAGAGAGCTGGAGGACAGCCAGAGGGACACAGCAAGACCTTGTCTTCAAAAACTAGGAAAATAAAAAGCAAAACCAAAACCAGTCCCCAACCCCCATTATCTATTTTATGTGCTTATGTAAAAGCAAACCTGGGTTAGCTCCCTTTAAAAGACAGGCTCTTTTCTTCCCTGCCTTCCTCTCACTTTACCTCCTTTTAAAGCTGCACCAGAGTAAAGAGAACAGAATGGAGCTACCTGGTTTATGAAAATGGAGAAAAGATGGTCATTCTGTGTCAGTCTCAAGAGCTGTTTGCTGTGGCACGGATCTGCTCTCCTCCTTCCTACTACAACTTAAACATGAACTTCATTCTTAATTCCAGATGTGGTGGTGCTTGTCTTTAATCAAACAAGCAAGCAAACAAGACAAGGGCTTCATTGTATACTACTTGTATAAAAAATTAAATGAGGATAAAGGAAGCTGGGCCGCCCAGGCCCTTTGCTTTCTCCAAAGCCCACAGGCCTGGCAGATGCATTGCTTTCCACCTGGGATGCATTCCTCTCTCCTTACTTCCCCTACACGTGATCCATCCAGTCAAGTACCGACAAGCTACATGAAGCTGTTTTGTCTAGTACCTTAGTCTCTGAGTTTGTACAGCTCACATTCTCTTTAACGCCATTTAGCTCACAAACATTCCCTGTATCTTTCCAAGTCCTGGGTCTTGTACTATCATTCCTTCCCATTCAAGTGTTTAACAACTATTGGCTGGTCCACCGAATGTGAGAGCTGAAGAAAGAAGGCCATGGAAAACAAATTACAGGATAAAGTTAGAAGTGTGACAGTGGTAGGTGACGTGGCTAGTTTTTATTCACAGAGCATTATACTTAATAATACTATTATTTATTGCAACCACCTGAACCACTCTTCTGAGTCTATTATGTAACCTCTGTTCCTATGGATATAAAGATACAAGACACAGATACTTTATTCCTGTTAATAACCCTCAATGAGCCAGGGTTTGAAACAAGCCACTTTATCTCTAGGGTGTGTGCATTGCTAGATCCTAACCCCAAGCTAACATAAATACACTGAAGAAAGTTATATGACAGTCACTTTAGATTTTTATCTGGTCAAAGGCTGTGGTTGATCCTGAAACAACGCGGATTCATTTCATCATTTATTTTTAAAGATTGTAATGAACAGGCAGGTCCAAGTCTGAACCAAAGGAGCAACTACACGAGACACAGGATGGTCAGCCCCTCCATTGTAAACATTTCACCTGAAGGTCTGATTTTTAAATAGTGTCTCAGGATGATGCTCCAACATCATGCATCTATTAGGAAAGAAGGGATCAGTGTGGTGTGGTCACTGACCGATCTTTCTCAGCCGATTCTGAAGGAAAGGGTGGGCTGGGTATGCTCCTCTTTACAGGAAGAGTGGAGTCATCCAGAAAACATGAGTCATGTCTGTACTAGCCCTGTGGAGCATGAGTCTTCTAATAGACATTGAGGCCCTGTTCCTACCTTCCCAGGAAAGCAAAGCTATGGAAAACTAACAGAGCAGAGCATAGGCTATTGTGTTTCTTGTGCTCTCCCGGAGTCAGAGCCCTCATTCTAAACCCTTTTAAGACTGATCTCAAACAATGCTCCCTCATTTTAGTGTTGTGGAAAGATGTTCTTTGTTTCCAGAAACACGAGGAACTTGAGAGGAAACACTGAACTCTGAACCACTCTTTCGTTGACTAGAATTGTGATGCGCCTGTGCATTAATTCTGAGGGCTATGGAACCTCAGGAGAGGACCCTGGCTGGAGAAACAGACCACCAAGGGTGGGGCTCAGAAGGCTGCACCCTCCTCTAGTCCCAGCAATCCCTCTTTGCTTCCTGTGTGAGCAGCTCTTGATGTAAGAGTCTCTTGGTCTGGCCTTTGCCAGCGTGCTTTCCAGTGACAGACCGGAACCACTAGCCCAAATGAAGCTACCTCCCTTAAGGTTTCAGTCAGGCGCTTTGCCACAGCGGTGAGAAAAGCAGCTTACACAGCCACGCTGCCCGATTCTGGAATGAATCAAAGACTGCACCACACTCCCCTCGGGGGGAATTCAGAGAGCAATTTAAGTAGTTCAAAGATTATTACATATTTTAATATGATTTTTCTATACATTTTGGACAGAAGAATGTCACAAAATTCACACAGCTTGGTGCTTCACGGCTATAGTTGGTCAGCTAGTCAAACAGCGATAGTAAACATGCCAGGTCATAACAGTCCTTCAAGACACATAGGTGAATGAGATACACAAAGCATAGTTCAGAAAAATGAGTGACTTATCCTTCTGATTTCTATGTCGAAGCTCCTTCACTTATGGTACATAACGTCCTAATATTCCTACTGTAAGCTGAAAATACTAATCTGAACAGACATTTAACGGCAGTAGCCCTCTGAACATCGTAGTTTAGCCTGCAGTCCTCAGAACACTTATTTTAATCTACAGTTCAAGCTATCATCTAACAAAAAGGTTGTTCTATAATGAAGCATTGAATACCTTATGTAATTTATTGGATTTTACACTGAAAACAAAAAAAAAACCCAATGGTTCTATAAATATAAAGTAGAAAAAAATGTATGTAAAGTCTAAGTCAGGACTGTGTAGAATTTTTGAAATTTAAAGCCACAAGAACATGCCAATATATTTTGCATTTAACAGAGCAAATTCTCCAGTTAAATAATAGAAATTATTCAGAAATTAGTATTTAATTTCAGACAATTCAGTGTTCAAGAACTGATATAAAATCAACTAATTTAGAAAGGTGATCTTTAAAACTTTTTTTTTTTAGCTAAGACATGCTAGGTAAGCGTGATGCCCTTGGCTGTTTGTGAATATTCCATCTGAATGTATTGAGGGATCCTGTCAAGTGTGCTGGTACAAATCTGGACCCTGGAGCCCGTTTTTCTTTCTTTTTAACTGTGTGTGTGTGTGTGTGTGCAGGCACATGCAGGTATGTATGTGTCAGGCCATGTGTGTGGAGGTTACTGGACAACCTCAGGTGTCCAGCCTCACCTTCCACCTCCTTTGAGCTAGTTTCTTTTTCTTGTTTGCTTGTGGTGTCCAGGCTTCTGGGCAGAAAGCTCTGGGGATTCCCCCGTCTCTTCCACCCATCTTCCCATAAGAGAGTTCTGATTACATACGTGCATCTGTTTTCACATGTGTCCTAGGGACCTGAATTCAGCTTCTCACACTTGCTTGGCAGCCCTTTGAGCCATCTTCTTAGCCTCCAGACTGATCTAAATTCCAGTCCCAGGCATGTACCACCGTTATGACTTGGGGACATGACCCGATCCTTCCATTTCTCCCATCTGCCATAGAAAGATAGCTCTATGCATTTATATGTGGGTTTGTTGTGTGTGAGGACTGAACTATTAGCAGGTGTAAATAGAGCATATAGGTAAGCCTGAGAGCCCTGTAGATGCTTAGTGAAAGCTAGTAACTTCGGTTAGAATAACAAGAGAAGAAAAAGCGTATCAAAAAAATCCTTTGACTATCTGCAGAGACTTCTTAGTGTGTTGTGTGTGTGTGGCTTCTTTCTCCACGGAGGAAGGGAACAGTGCTCTACTGTACATCTGTGTAGGCTGCCCCTTGCTAACTTCAGGGACACTGCTCCCACTGCAGTTCCCGTGACCGCACCTCCTGAAGTTGTGCGATGCACCGCCTGGCCGGCTGCACTGCTTTAAGAAAGAAGTGTCCATTAGGCAGATCCAATTATTCGTCATGTAATTATGGATAACCCGTCATCGATGTAATTTCCTCACGAAGCGTTTCCCCGAGCAAGCCCTTACCTTAGGCTACCAGATCAACTTTTTACTGGAAAGGAAACACGGAGGGCTAAGAGGTTTACGAGAAACCTCTGGGACACGGAGTGTTCTAGTTAGGCGTGAGAACTGGTTTCTGGGATTAAGCAAGGGGTGTTACTAATGGGTAGAAATAATTGCATCTCCCAGCCGATGCCAAAGTCAAAGACACCTTGGAGATTTTCCATTTATCAAAATGGGACATTTAGCTTAAATCCATTTTTTATATACTTTGATACCGTATAGAAAAAAAAAATGGCTGAAATGACCCTTGCTATTTTTAGGACACTGTTATTGCTTACTCTCCTCATGACTTGTCATTTGAAGGACGTCTACTTTTCCCTGAGTACCACACAAAACTGTACTAAACTTTTGAGTTTTGATCATCTCTGTTAATTTCTTAAGTTTTAGACAGCATTGTAACGTGAAATTGATTAGCTCATTCTTCAGATAAGGAATTGTTATGGCTCAAAAATGTGTTTTAAATTTGGTTAACTATAAGATGTGGAACAATTTTTTTTTTTGCAGTCAAGTTTTATTTTCATAAGAAGATCTCTGAAGGTGAGTATCTTCAACTATAAGTGTTCTTAATTGTTGACTTTGTGCTATGTGAAATAACAGGATAAATATAGAGAACTGATAAACATGACACCCTTAAAAGAATATTCAGGTGCACTCTGTAGCTACATCTTCCAAATGATTCATTTTGAAGTCCAAATACCTGAAATTTTTTTCAGAAAAATTTCTAGATTGGAAAACATGTATTGTCCCACATTCCCTGTATCTTTTATTTATTTTTTTTAAAGGTTGGCCTCTTTCTTGTCATTTTGAAACATTAGTTTTCCAAGTATTTTTAAATTTCTATTTGTGTGTGTGCATTTATAGGTGAGTGGTGTGTGTGTGTGTGTGTGCGTGTGTGTTTGTGTGCGCACGCACGTGCGCGCGCATGGAGATCAGAGAAGGACTCTGCATGTGCTACTTCATCACTCTTTACCTTATTCCCTTGAGATAGGCTCTCTCTCTGAATGTGGAAATAGTGGCCAGCAAGCCCAATGCGTCCCCTGTCTCCATTTCCCACAGTGCTGGGGCTTCAGCTCAATGGCCATACCTAACTTTTTCCTGGGTGCCGGGGATTCAAACTCAGGTCTTCATGTCTGTGCGGCAGGCTCTCTTAACCTACTGGGCCATCTTCCTAGTCCCATGCAACTATTCTATATTCTAACTGAAGAAACATGCAGGACCTTCCTTGACTTATTAGGAATGATGCCAACGGTAGTTTGAAACATTAAAACACAGTACTAAGACACGTATCATCAAGAACCACCCCTAGTACTGAAATACTACAACTGGATGGTGCCAGGGTCTTTCAAACACTTCCTGTTTCTCAAAGCACTTCTGTGAACACAAGGGTGCTCCCTTCTCACTGTGTACATTTCAGACAGGGACAAGGCTAAGATGATTCTCTGTCTGTCTGTCTGTCTGTCTGGTTGCTGTTTGTTTTGTTTTGAGACAAGGTCTTTCTACAAAGCTGTCCTGGAACCCACTATGTAAACCAGACTGGTTCTGAACTCACAGATTTGGCCGCCTCTGTCACCGAAGTGGTGGCAATGAAGGGCGTGTGCCACCATGCCCAGCCCAAGATGACTCTAATTTGATAGGAGAGAACGTAAGAGCTGGAGTGAGTCAACGGAACAGCTACACGCTCAAGCGTAGGTCTTGCTGTCACATCTCATGTTGAGACGCTGTCCCATGACCTTGTATGGTGTGTGTGTGTGTGATGGGAAGAGTACTTAGAAAGCCACAGACACGTCTTTCTACTTTCAGACCCCACCCTTCAACAACAAATGAGGCCCATGGTCTGAGAACACTGCTTTTCACCGGTAACCACATTCTGGGTGGCTCCTGTTTCTAAAAGGATTCCATTTACCTTCACAGAATGAACTTTTCACTGTCACACTCATCCACCTTTCCGAATCTCGCCCCGGCTCTCTAACATGCACTTTCATTCCAGTCAAACCGGTGGCTCCACAGCCCCTGGCTAAGGGCACTAGAGCCCGTCTTTGCTTGTATCAGTCTGACAATGGAGCAGTTTGGTCCGTCTCTTCCTATGGAATGTTAACTCCCACTGACTCCACCAAGCCTTACCTGCCTAACACCGCCCTCGCCCTCTGAAAGTAGGATTAAGGATACAGGTTAGCTTAATGGAAAGCACAAATGCCGCCCACACGGAGGGTTTTTAAGTTTCTTATACTCACGTTAAAAGGCTTGCTAAAAAGTTTATTAATTAGCGGTGTATTTAATTTAATGTCCTGAAAATACTGTAATTTCACTATGCAATCAAAACAAGACATAAGAATATCTTTTACACTTTTGTTATGATTAAATATTTCATTGTATAGTTTACATTTAGTAGCATCTCTCATCTCAGAACAGTTATATTTGAAGCGATAAATATCCATGTATGGATAGATAGTGGCTATGATATTGCAAGGATCAGATCTAGACCCTTCATTGAGTATTTCTCTCTGTATCTCTCTGTCTCTCTTTCCCTCTTCTTCTCCCCCCCTTCATCTCCCCTTCTTCCCCTCTCCCCCTCTCTTTCCTGTCTTCCTCTTCCTCTGCAGGGACAAAACTTTCTTGTGTGTTGGAAGACATATGTTCTAACTTTCTCATCGCCAGCACAATAGGAGAACTGCAGGCCGCTTCACAGTTAAGAGAGGCCGTGTTCAAGCATTGGTTCCTGGTATGAAAAGTTGTCTGATGCCTATTTTCTCTTTGAACATTGTTGTATGAGGGGGACTGAGAAGTTCTTTGCCACCAGACATCTTTCATGATGGCAGGCAACTTTAACTTGTAGACAGCTCTTGAGATCTATCTCCCTGTAACGTTTAGAAGTCGCTGTTCTCTGTGTTTTGAAATGAGGCAATGGCATGAATGGATGCTGGGGTCATGGCAATTAGCTTTGGAATTTTGTCCTATATTTAATTATATCCAAGTGTTATTAGCGATCTTCATGTATGAGTGAGTTATGACATATTTTTGCCTCACTAATGCAATGCTTAAGGTATAAACTAGCTTATAGTATCTAAGCTAGTACTTCTAGTTTAGAGTCTTCCTCTCTTTTATAAAACATAAAGTTCCCCCAGTCAACAGAAGTTACTCTCCTAACATTATTTTCCTGCAAAGTTCATGTCACCCCTCCCCAAAAGCTTGATATGTTTTTGCACATAATGGCTGAATGTAAAACCGGTTTTATTAATAATCCTCCCAACTTGACTAGTATTAAAATTACTTTGATTTTTAGTTCAACAGTTGGTGACTCCTCTAAAAACATGTCAGGTATCAAGATCAGGCATGCAGCATTCTTAGCCATGTGCTTAACAAGAGATGTGTAATGCTAGGGAACTGAAGTGGGGGGTTGTGCATGTTTTCATTTGTGTGCTGGAATATATGCATTTCTTTGAAGAAAACGAAGATTGTGGAAAGTAAAACCTGGGACTGGGATGAATTAATCTGATCATTGAAGAGAAATAAAAGAACTACATTAAAATAAACTTTTTTGTTCTGTTTCACAGAAAAAGGAAGAAGTTTAAAAATTTCCCAATTATATGTTTAGCTCTGCTGCATCCCATCTAGAATGTAAAACAGGGACTCAGCAACCGAGTCCAATCTTCTGTAGCAAGCAAAGAAACAGGAAAAATGTACTAGTTTTAGAAAAAGGTGGGACTTACCATCAGTAGGGCCAGAGGTCTCAGGGCTCTGGGGAATAGGCAGGTCATTGTTGCCAGTGTCCGTGGTGAATAAATCCAAGCGTCTTGCTGCAGCTTCTCACTTGGATGTCTGTATCCGATGTCTGGAGCTCCCTTCTGGCAGTGGTGGCTCTGTTGCCTGCCTCAGGACTCTCCTGGTGGCCTGTTAGTATGTTCCTCCCCACCCCAAGCCAAGGATTGGTCTCACCAGAAACGCTTGCATCACTGCCTCCCAGGTAAAAACTGAGACACACCTCAGTTCCTACAGCAATGGAATCCTTTGTTGGAAGCTAAGTGAGAGGTTCACAGGCTAATGACAAGAGCTGAATAGGAAGGTACCAGATGAATAACACATTAATCATGGCATGGAAGGGCCAGAGCTGCCCTGGCCGCAGTGAAACAAAAATACAGTTGGCTTCTTATGACCACAGCTGAAAAATGGAAAGCAGAAAGAGGATAGAGAAAATTTCCCCAAATCTCCTTGCGGTAAAGTTCATTTCCAGGCTGACTGTGTACGGGTAAGAGGTGTGACTTAATAATGTATGTTACCCGAAAAGGTTTACAAACAACAAAGTAAAAAGAGCAGCACAGCACCACTGTCAATACAGAGTTTGAAGAGAATTGATTAGAAAGAAATAAAAACAGATGGCTTCATGGGTGTGCTGGGGTACATGACTAATGCATCGCAGAATTGGATGGTGTGGATACTGGTGACATCCTTTTGTGTCTTTGTTCACTTATAACTTAGATAAAGTCGACTGGAAGTAGATAGGCTATTGCAGTCATCTTCTAATTACTCCCTTCTTTCCCCGAGGCAGTCAGCCTGCACACTTCTGCACGCTGAAGTACCCAAACACTTGGACGGCACCCCATGTGAGGGCTGGGAGCTAGGACAGGATCTTTGTTGGTTTCGCAATAGCCAGAGGAGGATTTGCAGAAGAACAATTTTATCTTTAGAAGTATTTAGAAGCATTTTAGAAGCATTTTAGTTTTAGAGAGTTTATTTAATCATAGAGTACTTAGTAGAAAAGGTCATGTAGATAGGCCATGAGTTTAAAAAAACCTTGTAGAAAATGTTTTGTCTCTTTTTTTTTTAACTATGGTGAAATAAGCAGGAATGCTATCACATTTTTTTAAAAAAATCATTAATTTATTTGTGTGTGTGTGTGTCTGTGAACACATACTTATACACACGTGTGTAAAAATCAGAAGACAACTTATGGAATTCAGTTATCTCCTTCTTCTTCATGGGTCATGGTGATCGAACTCAGATTATCAGCCTTGGCCATTCATGCCTCCACAGGTGAACCACCTTTTCAGCCCTCATGCCAACCATGTTTACAGGTATAATTCAGTGTCATCAAGTGCATTCACAGAGCTGTGTAGCTGTGATCATTACTGCTACCTAGATAGGTAGTATTGTTTTTGACATAAAGGGTTTTTGAGAATCAAATGGTAATGGACATAGTAGCCATGCCCACTTGTTTTATTGTAAATAGCTGCCTTGATCCTAGCATGGGACAGCAAGTAGAGTTCAACAGTTATACAAGAGACTGTACGACAAACAGACAAACGGTTATACAGGAGACTGCAAAGACAAACAGATTAACTTTCTGTCTTGCTCATTTGCTGATTCCTGGGTGACACCATAAATGTGTATGTGTGTGTGTGTGTTTGTGTGTGCATGTGTGAGTATGTGTATGTTAGTGGCACACAGGGCAACCTTGGGTGTCATTCTTAATGTGCTATCTTCATTTGACTTAACTTATTTAGGTATTTGTATATTTTGGATAGGTTCTCACTATGTAGCTCTTGCCTGGACTGGAACTCACTATTTAGACCAGGCAGGTCTTGAACTCATAGAGATTCACCTTTGACTCTGAAGTAGTGGAATTAAAAGTGTGTGCCACCATACCTGACTTTTCTTTTACTTTTTTGAGACAAGTTCTCTCTCTGGCTTGGAACTCACCAAGTAGGTTAGGCTGGATGGCCATCGAGCCCTAGGGAATCTATTTGTGTCTGCTTCCCAAGCTCTGAGATTGCAAACATTCTACCATATCTAGATTTGGGGTTCTGGTGATCGGCCTCAGGCCTTGTGTTCACAAGGCAATCACTTTACCAATGGAGCCATCTCCCCAGCCCCACTATACTCTTTAAACAGTGTTTGTGACCCATCTGTTGAGTATTTGAATCTGTAGTAGAAAAAGAAAACTTCAAGAGGTCCAGGTTGACATTCCTTGTAGAGTTTCCTCCATTGTGATTCATCAAACATATTTTATGCACTTTTGGACTAGAGTTAGAAAGAGCCCTTGATTGAGGTTCAGGACAAAGTCTATGGACAATGAGGTGGTTGTTCCGTGACTGGACTTGTGGATGGATAGACTTTGAGAGGAGGCTTATTGCATTGGCCCATTTGTTGATGTAAGTGATCAAAGTGTTAGGAGCTTTCTGAGTTTAGTGTTTGAACATAGTTAAGGGTTCAGAGAGCTTTGGGGTATATGCACATACACTATTTGCTCACACAAGGAGAAGTACAGAAGAATGACAAAACAACAGAAAGGGTCATCATCAACCCCAAGCTTATTTTCAAGGCTATAACTATATTTTATTTATTTTGATTACTTGATGACTTATTTTATAATTTTGTTTTTGTAATGAGAACTTTGTTTGGTTGTAATCTGTACTGAGACAGGTTCTCACTAAGTATCCTTGACTGGCCTTGAACTCAAGATCCTTCTGCCTTCTGTATGTTGGATTTCAGATGTGCACCACCATATCCAGCTTGAGATTGTATTAATTTTGCAATTAAAAAAAGTAAGTTATTTGAGGAATAATGTGAAGAAAGTAAGGCTTTAGGAGAAATATTGTAAACAGAGAGAGGGAAGAAAAGACAAAGCGAATGCTTTCATTTTCCTCACATGATTTAATATCTTGCATTTCTTTAGATTATTCTTGAGCTAATGACAAAGGGATCCACAGGCAGACAGGGATCTCTAATTTTCTTTTGGGGGGTGCTCTGTGCCCTTAACAATTTCTTTATGTTTTATTTTATCATTTTAGGTCACATAAGGCAAATTTCACACTAGTATGCCAGTGTATAAAATACTTGGTGCGCATTCCCCTAGGCCTCCTATGCTCTTTTCTTCATAACATCCTCAAACAGTTTCACTTCTACTTTAATGCCATCTATGCATATATGCTTTTATGCATAGCTATTATAGGGCCAGAAAAAGAGAGAAAACATATGATCTTTGTCTTTCTGAGATTGATGTAATTGCATTAATATTATCTCCAGATGAATCAATAATTTGGCAAATGACATACTTTCATCTTTCTTTATGACTGGAGAACTGTGTCTATAGACCACATTTTCCTCATCTATTCCTCCGTTGAGACATAGGTTGGTTTTATAACTAAGATAATGTGAAAAGTGCTTCGGTAAACATGGATATGCAAGATTGGCTGAGATATGTTGATTTGGAATCCTTTTGGTAAATACCCAGAATGGTGTAGCTTAGTCAGATGGCAGATCTGTCCTCAGACGTACTGACTTCCATAGTGGCTGTAAGCACACATGTCCCTTTCTTTGAAAGATGGACCCCTTAGTAAGGTAAGGAAGTACCCTGGTGTAGCCTTGTTTATGTGGCTACAGGAAAGTAGTCTAGAGGGTGATTTTATGTATTATTTTCTACACTTAGTGGTGCTTTTTCTTGCTATTTCATTTGTGTTTGGAATTAAAGAGGTTGTGAAGTGCCATGTGGTGCTGGAAATTGAACTGGGGTCCTCTGGAAGAACAGCTAGTGCTGTTAGCCATTGAGAGTTTTCCAGTACTTTGTAGTTGAGCAATGGTGTTATCAGTCTTGGGATAAACGGCTCAGAAACTCAGGCCTAACTTGAACTGGCTCTTGATGAAGAGACTGAAATCAAAATGAGAATCATAACCATAACAACTAAAGGGGAGCTTCATTGTATGTGTTGGTTGTGCCCCAACAAACGTACCATATGAAGACAGGAGAGACAGAAAGCAGATCCAACACAAACTGAAGAGTTTATCTTCCATTCGCTGGAAGCTGAAATAGGCTATACTCTGACTAAGAAGCCAAGCAATAAAACTCAATATGTATTCAAATGGGCAGAGACGCCAGAGGTTTCCAAGCTGTTTTTGAAGCTTGTTATCTACAGTAGTTCCCTTATCCGTCAAGTACAGAGCGTTAATTAGTCTTTGGTTTCCCTGGCACGCCTTTGCTGGCTTTCATTGCTTCCACTGGAAACATGTTTGTGGTCTATGTCACATTTACTACTTTTTGGATGTTTTATTGCTCTTGAATGTTTACCAATCAAAAATGCACCTGTATTTTGAAATGACTTGTAAAAGTATGGATTTGTTGTCTTTTGTTATTCAAGGTAGTGGGGACTGTATACCTCCCATTCTGGTCATTCGGGGAGGCATCCAGATAGATGTGCCTGAAAGTCTGACTGTGCTGCAGAGAACAGCTTGTACTTTAATTAGTGGGAGCAAAGCTGTGGACCCATCAATGCTTCCCTATGTTTCTGTGATTCTGAGGAAAACACACACACACACACACACACACACACACACACACACACACACACACAC